AGAGGAGGCAAAGTCAAAGTAGCCGCACATGTAGCAGTTTAGGGCTGCACGGTGGCTGAGTGGATAGCACTCTCGCTTCCCTACCACTAAAAATATGTCCAATAGTTCTAGCATGCGCCTCCTGTACTGGCGACCCCGCTCCCATCTCTGTGTGGAGTGAGAGACAAATGCCCAAAATTAACAATTGTAAACCGCTTTGAGACTCAGATCTGCAGTGAAAAGGCGGTATATAAATAAAGATTACTTACTACATACACAATCAAATACACACACGCAGAGTAATACTGAGATACAAACTGAGAAAGGATTGGCATAAAACTACATATTTTGCCGATTTTAACGTTAGATCATTGTAAATAAATTGCAGATGTGTCTATTTTGTGATTCACCTCCTCCTCTTGACTCTTCTATATCTTTGCTGGCCCCTAATTTCCATAAGAAAGTCTGTGGTGGGGCCCTCTGCTCTCTGGAGTGTGGCAACGGGCCCCATTTGGATCCTTTATATAATGCCCTAACCCTCGTTTATCTTTAGCATTTATGTGACATCACACTCAAAATAAGCTTATTATAATTTCTTATACGGCAAGAAGCATAGTCACTAAAACAATATTCTGTGTATAAAGTGTTTTAGTCCATAGGAAATACCTTAATCTTTACCAATGCTGTCTTAGTTTAAGTCATAAGCTAGCATCATGTCTCTCCGCCGATACTGAAGGACCTCTTTCAGCTAATTAGCAATCAATTAGCTTGTTAGCACCCGCAGTAATTACCTTTTATAGAGGTGGAGAGGACTGCAGCTGCTACCGCTAATAAAACCGCTAGTGGCTATCCTAACCAGGCCTGTCTGAGTGAGAGTTATGGGCCCGGGGGCAGCAGCGCGACAAGGCAAACACCGTCCCCCAGGGGCCCCTCTCCTCTGCCTCTCTAACAGACTTAAATCCTCTTTTAATGAATATGGGGTCAGGCTAAATGGGAAATCCATCATGGCAGTAAAAGCAGAAGGCTCGAGTGCAGCCACTGAATGCACGTCGTGAATGACTTTTATGAATCATCGCTCCCCATTCAGGCTTTGTAGCGGCGCCGATAGCATCTCGCCGTTAAAATCAGGGCCTATTAGCCGCTGCTAATTGTGTGGGGTTTGATTCACTTTCATTAGCACTTGTAAAAGATTGAATGATTGTGAGGCCGCGGTGGTGTTCGGTGACATTCGGAGTCATTTCTGCTCTGAATAGAAGCCGATTGGTTCCATAGAAAGTGTAACATGGTCAGTGACACGGACATTTTCTTTAATTCATTCTTTGATGGTGATTTGTAGCGACACGGACCGAGCTCTGGCACCACAAAGAAAAACACACCATTGGACTTAAACTGCTTTTATTATCTTTGTATCAGCTCAAGATACAGACTGATCAGATTCTTTCCACCACCAACCCAAAGTTAGAGATTTAATTTTTCATTTCATTTGGAGAAATTATTATTAATTATTAAAGCAAAACGTTTATTTTAATCCAATCTTCTCCGCGCCATTCAGACACAAACTACAATACAACAACAACAAAAAGAATCAAAACCCTACAATATCCTCCAACAAACACATGACACACACACACACACTAACACACACAAACACACACACAGGCATCCATACATACAGACACACACTCGAAACCCGGTCAGAACAGTGCCTTTCTGAGTGGAGTTTGCATGTTCCCCCCGTGTCTGCAAAGGTTTCCTCCAGGTGCTCTGGTTTCCCCTACCACTAATAACAATACAATGTACAATAGGTCTGGCCTCCTGTACTGTGAACACACACACACACACACACACACACACACACACACACCGATAGCAAGAGACAAGACCCAGTCCTCACTAACCCCGCCCCCTTCTCTCTTTAAGGCCTTGAGCGAAATCAAAAATAACATTAGAAGAAACCACTACATCTAAAGAGAAAATCCTAAAATAAAATAGTTATGTTGAAAAGCTCACAGCAGGAAGCAACAGTGTCATATCTGCTCAACACGGATCACAAACTGCTAATTACCATCTCTCCATTCTCTGCCTTTAAGCTTCGAGGACACCTTTTAACCACTTTCTTCACATTTATCTCTGGCTAATCCACCGCTCCTCTCTCCGCCGCCTCTACTCCCGCCATTTATTAAAAGGCAAACTTCGAATCCTTTAATCCTAAACGCCATGCTTTATCCCCTCAGAGCAAAATAAATCAGCATGCTCATTCCTCCAGCTCCATCCGCGGCTTACCAATATCTATTTGGAAGCGTGCTGAGCTAACAATGGTCCGCACTGACAGCCAAGGTTAATCCTATATGTCGCCATTATTTGAGGTCAAGCCCCCTCCACATATATTTAGTGTGTCATTAATTTCCGGGCCCGGGCGTTTCGGAGCTAGCACATTCACCAACACAATGCAATGCCTCGCTACATTAGCCAAATAGCCACATGGCCGTCTCCGCTCGTTCCTAATGAGACAGATCTACGCGACATGTTGGTCGTTCATCATCCTGCTGGTTCCAATCCACGACTCCCTTTATCAGGCTCCCGTAGCACCCAGAGGAAAGAGTGGCCACAAGCGACATAAATCACCTGTCACTGCGGGTCCCTGGGCGCTCATAATGCTCTATTAGTGAACGGAGCGGGCCCTATTGAGGAACAGGTAGAGTATTAATGAGTATTAGTGAAGGGAGCGGGCCCTATTGAGGAACAGGTAGAGTATTAATGAGTATTAGTGAACGGAGCGGGCCCTATTGAGGAACAGGTAGAGTATTAATGAGTATTAGTGAACGGAGCGGGCCCTATTGAGGAACAGGTAGAGTATTAATGAGTATTAGTGAACGGAGCGGGCCCTATTGAGGAACAGGTAGAGTATTAATGAGTATTAGTGAACGGAGCGGGCCCTATTGAGGAACAGGTAGAGTATTAATGAGTATTAGTGAACGGAGCGGGCCCTATTGAGGAACAGGTAGAGTATTAATGAGTATTAGTGAAGGGAGCGGGCCCTATTGAGGAACAGGTAGAGTATTAATGAGTATTAGTGAACGGAGCGGGCCCTATTGAGGAACAGGTAGAGTATTAATGAGTATTAGTGAACGGAGCGGGCCCTATTGAGGAACAGGTAGAGTATTAATGAGTATTAGTGAACGGAGCGGGCCCTATTGAGGAACAGGTAGAGTATTAATGAGTATTAGTGAACGGAGCGGGCCCTATTGAGGAACAGGTAGAGTATTAATGAGTATTAGTGAACGGAGCGGGCCCTATTGAGGAACAGGTAGAGTATTAATGAGTATTAGTGAACGGAGCGGGCCCTATTGAGGAACAGGTAGAGTATTAATGAGTATTAGTGAACGGAGCGGGCCCTATTGAGGAACAGGTAGAGTATTAATGAGTATTAGTGAACGGAGATGGCCCTATTGAGGAACAGGTAGAGTATTAATGAGTATTAGTGAACGGAGCGGGCCCTATTGAGGAACAGGTAGAGTATTAATGAGTATTAGTGAACGGAGCGGGCCCTATTGAGGAACAGGTAGAGTATTACTGAGTATTAGTGAACGGAGCAGGCCCTATTGAGGAACAGGTAGAGTATTAATGAGTATTAGTGAACGGAGTGGGCCCTATTGAGGAACAGGTAGAGTATTAATGAGTATTAGTGAACGGAGCGGGCCCTATTGAGGAACAGGTAGCGTATTAATGAGTATTAGTGAACGGAGCGGGCCCTATTGAGGAACAGGTAGAGTATTAATGAGTATTAGTGAACGGAGCGGGCCCTATTGAGGAACAGGTAGAGTATTACTGAGTATTAGTGAACGGAGCAGGCCCTATTGAGGAACAGGTAGAGTATTAATGAGTATTAGTGAACGGAGTGGGCCCTATTGAGGAACAGGTAGAGTATTAGTGAACGGAGCGGGCCCTATTGAGGAACAGGTAGAGTATTAATGAGTATTAGTGAACGGAGTGGGCCCTATTGAGGAACAGGTAGAGTATTAATGAGTATTAGTGAACGGAGCGGGCCCTATTGAGGAACAGGTAGAGTATTAATGAGTATTAGTGAACGGAGCGGGCCCTATTGAGGAACAGGTAGAGTATTACTGAGTATTAGTGAACGGAGCAGGCCCTATTGAGGAACAGGTAGAGTATTAATGAGTATTAGTGAACGGAGTGGGCCCTATTGAGGAACAGGTAGAGTATTAATGAGTATTAGTGAACGGAGCGGGCCCTATTGAGGAACAGGTAGAGTATTAGTGAAAGAAATGTGCCCTATTGAGAAACTAGTATAGTTCTTGTTGTTTGTTGTACAGTCTGACAGCAGCAGGGCTCCACTTCCTATGTTTGTAAAAGAAATTATGACCGATGCTGATCAAAACAAACAGGAATTTGTGACTTCCTGTTCTTCACAATAAAAATAAAAATATTCTGTGTCTACACTCTGTCTATACTCTGTGTCTATACTCTGTGTCTACACTCTGTCTATACTCTGTCCATACTCTGTCTATACTCTGTCCATACTCTGTCTATACTCTGTGTCCATACTCTGTCTATACTCTGTGTCTATACTCTGTCTATACTCTGTGTCTACACTCTGTCTATACTCTGTCCATACTCTGTCTATACTCTGTCTATACTCTGTGTCTATACTCTGTGTCTACACTCTGTCTATACTCTGTCCATACTCTGTCTATACTCTGTGTCCATACTCTGTCTATACTCTGTGTCTATACTCTGTCTATACTCTGTGTCTACACTCTTTATACTCTGTGTCCATACTCTGTCTATACTCTGTGTCCATACTCTCTGGGTTCTCTCTGACACATGTTCATCATAAAAGGTCAGAGTGTGACATCCTCTCGTGCTGGTCCTCCCTGATGACCCCGATTCTCTTTTGAAGTACTTCCTGGGGTCGGCGGGTCTGCGATGAGGTCATATCCTGTCTGTTCTGATCAGACTTGAGGGACGCAGCAGATGTGGAGGCTGCAGAGGTCACACTCTCATGAAAAGAGACACCGCCGTCTCTTCTTCTTCTCCTTCTCCTCCTTCTCCTCCTCCTCCTTCTCCTCCTTCTCCTTCTCCTCCTTCTCCTCCTCCTCCTTCTCCTTCTCCTCCTTCTCCTTCTCCTCCTTCTCCTTCTCCTCTCCTTCTCCTCCTTCTCCTCCTTCTCCTTCTCCTCCTTCTCCTTCTCCTCCTTCTCCTTCTCCTCCTTCTCCTTCTTCTCCTTCTTCTCTCTTCTCCTCCTTCTCCTTCTCCTCCTTCTTCTTCTCCTCCTCCTTCTCCTCCTTCTCCTTCTTCTCCTGGAGAAGTACATGTAACACATGTACTTTTAGGGACTGTGTGAATTGTGAATAAACTAAACTAAACTAAACTCCTTCTTCTTCATCACACTTTCGCCAAAGAGAAAACAAGTCTAATGTCATGTTGCCAAATGAATTACTTTTGCATTATCCTGCGACACTTTTCTTGCAAAGATTAAGCTAAGCAGAGCAGGGCCTGATTAGTGCTGTGATGGGAGACCTCTGGGAACAGCAGGTGCCACAGTGGGGCGGCTGCGGCTGTAAAGTGCCAAACTGTGGTTGTGTCCTTAGGCAAGACACTTCCCCCACATTAGAATGAGTCTGGTGTGTGTGTGAATGGTTGTGGTGGTGGGAGGGGCTTCTGTCAGTGTGCCCCAGGGCAGCTGTGGCTACAGTAGTTTATCACCACCGTGTATGGAGTGAAAGAATAATGATGAGAGCTTTGAGCGTCCTGAAAAGCTCTGTATGAAGCTGATTATTTTCTTTTCTCACTTGAATTCAGAGAAATGTGTTTGAAAAGTGCTAAAGACATGGAACAGGATCCTTTGTCCTGCTCCTGTCCCGACGCCGTCTCCTCGTTGCTTTTGTTCGGAGATAAATCAGCGGCTGAAGCTAACTACGTACCTGGCAGTGGGAACTATGTTGGTGTCCTCCAAAAACCAATTTCCCTCGGCTAACAGGGACCATTTATCTTCGGCGACGAGCTAGCTTAAATGTAATGAGGCCACGCATTGACCAGCAAGCGCACACACGGCCGCCTTAAGAAAATAAGCATAGATTTCCCTTTGGTCTTTCCCTGAGGACAGTACGGTCTAAAAATACTGTTTAAATAAAGCGGGTTACACCAGGCCGCGCTCTGCTCAGGTTTTAGGACTAAACCTGGGACTTTTTAACCAAGTTTGTCATAAATGAGAGATTAAATGATTGTCAAAAGTGTTGGGATTCGGTGTTTTGAGAATTAGTAAGAAAGTAGTAAGGCCTCAGACAACTGCTAAGAAAGGGATTATGTTTATAGACGTTTTTGTTAAATAAATTAAAATACATCTTATTGTATAGCACTTTAGCGTATTCACTCTCTCACTACAGACCTATTGTGCATGTTTTTAGTGCTAGAGGAAACCGGTGCGTATGGAGGAAACCTACACAGACACAGGGAGAACATGCAAACTACACACAGAGAGGCCTGAAGGTGGAATCCAACCCAGGACCTTCTCACCGTGCCGCCATCTTGTTTCTATTTCACATTTTAGATCCCATATGCAGGGTCTGTGTAAACTTAGACCTGGGACTAAACCAAGTCTAAACCAGGACTAAACTAGCCCCAAGTCTAAACTCTAACTGAGGAATAGTCAGAACCTAAATGAAAGCAAACCATTGAAAAAAAAAAACCCAGTGTTTACCTTCCGTGCCCGCCTCACAGTTTGCGACCCAGCGGCCTACGGCGTGAATGGCGGCCATGTTTTTCTAACGGCTAAAATGAAACGTCAAAGCTCCGTGTCTTTGTGCTCATCTCTCCTTTCTGCGCAGTTACTCGCCGTAGCTCCTCGCTGTTTGTCCGGTCACGCTCGGCTGTGTTTCCGTATATATTTGTGGCTTTTCCCACCCGCCGCACAAAAGGCCGAGGGAGGGGGCCGCCCGGGTCTGTCGGTGCATATATTTATGGGTTTGAGAGAAGAGAAGAAGGGGGAGACGAGAGAGACAGGTGAAAGAGAGGAGCAGAGGTTTTACCCATCATCCTCTCTGGTCGTCAGCCAAGTACACAGGCGTGGGTCCGCCGGGGGAACACAGACGCTAGTGCCAGCTGCTGCGCGCTAACCTGACAAACCACCTCTTTAGTCGACTGGTGAAGACGATGAACCACGCGGAGGATTTATCTGAAAATAATGTTTTTTTAAGTTAATTCAATGTATTTTTTGTATCACCCGAAATCAAGTTGTTTTAAACACAAGAAATGCAGCGGTTAGAGCTTGTTGTTTGGGTTCGATTCCAGCTCCGGGTCGTTCTCTGTGGAGTTTGCATGTTCTCCTCGTGTCTGCGCAGGTTTTCTCCGTGTGCTCCGGTTTCTCCTACCTCTAAAAATAGGTCAACACTGTGTGGAGAGAATGGAACAATCTCTCTCTCTCTCTCTCTCTGTCTCTGTCTCTCTCTCTCTGCCTCTGTCTCTCTCTCTCTCTGCCTCTGTCTTTCTCTCTCTCTTGCCTCTCTCTCTCTCTGTCTCTGTCTCTCTCTCTGTCTCTGTCTTTCTCTCTCTCTGCCTCTGTCTCTCTCTGTCTCTGTCTCTCTCTCTCTTTGCTCTCTCTCTCTCTGTCTCTGTCTCTCTCTCTCTTTCTGCTCTGTCTCTCTGCTCTCTCTGCTCTCTGTCTCTCTCTCTCGTCTCTCTCTCTGTCTCTGTCTTTCTCTCTCTCTTTGCCTCTCTCTCTCTCTGTCTCTCTCTCTGCCTCTGTCTCTCTCTCTGCCTCTGTCTCTCTCTCTCTCTGCCTCTGTCTCTCTCTCTCTCTCTCTCTCTGCCTCTGTCTCTCTCTCTCTGCCTCTGTCTCTCTCTCTCTGCTCTGTCTCTCTCTCTGCCTCTGTCTCTCTCTCTCTCTGCCTCTGTCTCTCTCTCTCTGCCTCTGTCTCTCTCTCTCTGCCTCTGTCTCTCTCTCTCTCTGCCTCTGTCTCTCTCTCTCTGCCTCTGTCTCTCTCTCTCTGCCTCTGTCTCTCTCTCTGCCTCTGTCTCTCTCTCTCTGCCTCTCTCTCTGTCTCTCTCTCTCTGCCTCTGTCTCTCTCTCTGCCTCTGTCTCTCTCTCTTTCTGTCTCTCTTTCTCTCTCTCTCTGTCTCTCTCTTCTATCGCTGTCTCTCTTTCTCTCTCTCTCTCTCTGTGGCCTCTTTAAACCTTTAGAAGTGATAAATTAATGATTATTTTAGAATAATCTGGAGATAAATACATTTTCAAACAGGAATTAGAAAACTGAACTAAAACCGGTCTAATTTAACCCGTTTAAATCTCCTTTAGAGTCACTATAATGAGTTTGGAAATCTACCTCTGTACCCTTCTGTGTATGTAGTTTGCATGTTCTCCCCGTGTCTGTGTAGGTTTCCTCTGGGTGCTCCGGTTTCCTCCATCCCTAAAAACATGTACAATAGGTCTGAATGGATGGTGTTTGGTCGGAGGCTTTGATGGACCATAAAAAAGGGACAAATGTCTGAACTTTGAACTGCTTTGAGTGACACCTTGGTCTGTAAAATGCGCTATATAAATAAACTGTACTTATTAATTTACTACTTACTTTGGGGCATTTTCACCATCAAACTGCATCTCAATCATTTGGTAAAGACCTAGAATTTAAACAAAAAAGTGGTGTTTGTGTTATTAGCGTCTTACAAAACGACGTTGCTTTCTTAGAGGAGCGAACATGAAAGGGTTAAACTCAGACTAAAGCTGGGAATATGGGACTTAATCACAAAAAACGCTTTGAAATCCATATTCAATGTAGCTTCATCAAAAGGATCCGCACAGACGCATGAAAGAGCCACAGATGTCGAGTGTTTCTCTCTGATAAAGAACCCACGGCCCCAGAATGAAGCGGCGGCATTTGCATGGTGTAATTACTGGTGTCTGGCCCCTCATTGTGCTGCTGGTCACTGGAGCCGCGGTGAGGACCAGGTGAGGTGAGGCCGAGTCATGTTCACCGTGTTTAGGCCACGCCCCTTTGCCCGCCGTGGCCTGGTCTGCGTCCTCCTCCAGAGTGAGAGACTGTCTGGACTGACATCGGGCTGTTCTGAGCTTTAGAATGATCTATAACGGAGCTGAAGTTGGCTGAATGACACATATTCACCATCTCACAAGTCAACAACTGAATCCCAGACGTTCTGGGCTTTAGAACAAGGTACGACAGGTCTGTATTGTCTGAGCTCAAGTTGGCTGGATGACACAGTGAGCTTGTGTTTATGATCTCAGAGACTGTGGGTTAGCGAGGCAGAGGGCCGCACACAATGACACAGAGGACCGCCATTAGCCCCCGGGCCTGCGGTTGGCCTGCTGTAAAGTCTTTGAATCGTGATATTTCCCAGAATATGTTAAAAATGATATTGAATTGTGGCTTGAATATCGCAGTACTGTATATTTTTGGATTATAAGTCGCAGATTTCGTCATAGTTTGGTGCGACATTCATCCATCCATCCATCTTCTTCCCTTTAATCCATTCCTGGGTCAGGGGGGTGGCAGTCAGAGATGCCACCCAAGTCTCATAGCACCAGCCCCTCACTGACCCTCTGCAGGTGGTGAGTCCACAGGAGGCGGCATTATTATGATTAAATGTTATATTTTATTTACCTTTGAGTTGGCACGTTCTCAGTTCTATTTTTATTTTAAATTGTCTTTTTAAGATTTTAGCAAATACATTTCACAAAAAATGCGACTGAAATATCTTTTTTTCTTTATGATGCATTTCCAGATGGTGCTGTAAAACCTCACACTGTTTCCACTTCCCTCTCATCTCTGAAGGAAAGTTAGATTTAAAAATAGTATTAAAACATGTATAAAGTTATTGCCTTTAATAAAACCAACTTTTCATTCCTCAACATTTGTGTAAACTGATCTGTCTGTGGAAACGGCTTCATGACAAACTGAAGGTAAACAAGTCCAGATACCGCGGCGACAGGAGCTCGGTTCGATTCCCACCATGGCCCATGTCACCTGCTCCCACTGATGTCTGCTGTCGTTGTGTCCCTGGGCAAGACACTTAACCCCACACTACCTGAAGCCCCCACTGAAAGATCAAGGCCGTTTAGACGATCATGGAGAAGCCCACCCCCAGCAGAGGATCAGCGAGGGTGGCAGCTCTCCCCCTGACCCAGAAATGGATTAATAAAGCGATGAAAGTGAAATTAAACTCGAGACAAGATCGTGAAAACCTTCCAGCTCCAGATCTGTGTCTGAGGATTACAGCAGCGATCAGTGAAGCATGAAGTCTCACTCTGTCCCATTAGGATCTATGTGAATCTGGATCTATGTGAATCTGGATCTATGTGAATCTGGATCTATGTGAATCTGGATCTATGTGAATCTGGATCTATGAGAATCTGGATCTATGTGAATCTGGATCTATGTGAATCTGGATCTATATGAATCTGGATCTATGTGAATCTGGATCTATGTGAATCTGGATCTACGAGAATCTGGATCTATGAGAATCTGGATCTATATGAATCTGGATCTATGTGAATCTGGATCTATGTGAATCTGGATCTGTGTGAATCTGGATCTATGTGAATCTGGATCTATGTGAATCTGGGTCTATGTGAATCTGGATCTATGAGAATCTGGATCTGTATGAATCTGGATCTATGTGATTGTGTGTGTGTAACTGTGTGTCTGTAACTGTATATCCGTGTGTATGACTGTGTGTAACTGTGTGCCTCTGTGTGAATATTTGTGCGTCTGTGTGTGTAACTGTGTGTATATCTGTCCGTCTGTATATATCTGTGAATCCGTGCATCTGTGTGTACGTCTGTGTGTCTGTAACTGTGTATCCGTGTGTAGGACTGTGTGTAACTGTGTGTATCCGTGTGTGTAAGTGTGTGCGTCCCTCCATCTCCCTCGCATGGCGCCTGACAAGTGGATAATAGGTTTTACTTTCCCGGAGCAGATTATAGATCATTATTCAAATAGAAGGTGAGGCTCCAGACGCCAGAGAAGGATCATTACCGTTTTATTTATCACAGATATTTCTGTAAACGCTGCAGTCATGATTCTGCAGCAGCTCCGGGGATTTCTGCGACGCTTCAGATGTTTCAGATATCCACACTTTTAATACCAGCTTTAGATAAACATGAGCCTTTGAGGAATGTGTGATTAGAATTTGATCAGGACCATGGACAGAGACGGGACTTTAATGAGTCAATCTGAAACATCTGACGTCTGTAACTCTGAGCCGTAAAATCTATTTCACCGTTTCCTCAAAGTTACTGCGACATTCAGCATCCACATGTGATATTTACTATTATATCTATATTTGCAGTTATGAAAATCTAAATAGAGACAATAATACATGTGTCAGTACTTGCGGGTGTTTGTGGCTGTTCCAATGTGAAGCTACACCTCAAAGAGCAAAATATATAAACTTTCAAACAGTAAAATGTAATTACTATTTACATACTACAGTCGTACATACTACAGTCGTACGTAATACAGTCGTACATACTACAGTCGTACGTACTACAGTCGTACATACTACAGTCGTACGTACTACAGTCGTACATACTACAGTCGTACATACTACAGTCGTATATACTACAGTCATACTACAGTTGTACATACTACAGTTGTACATACTACAGTCGTATATACTACAGTTGTACATACTACAGTCGTACATACTATAGTCGTACATACTACAGTTGTACATACTACAGTCGTATATACTACAGTTGTACATACTACAGTCGTACATACTACAGTTGTACATACTACAGTCG